TGAAGTAGCGTTTTTATAGTCACAGTCTATACTCGTACTATATATTCAATACTTCCAAATTCAACGCAGAGTTGAGTGAGCGATAAAAATATATACCTTTTTTTAACGATTGAAAAATAAATAAATTAAAACTTGGAATCAAGTTGGGACAAGCGAAGCAAAAGTGATTGGACTTTTGCCAGTATATGGCATGCATGATTACACATAGATCCTTGTAATACATTATGTCGTTGCTGGGTGCTGCTCTTACACCCCGAAGCTTACCTCACATGCGTCTCGAGGCTAATGTAATCGAGAAAGGGAGCGAGCAACGACTTTCCGTTCTCTTGGTTCTTGCCGATTGCAATGTGCACTAATTGTCGTTCCGCTTCCGATATCTACCGATTTTCACCGATCTCTCGTTAATCCAGAGATTGCGTAAGTAATGCCGAGCATTATCGGGTATAGCGTTTTGTAAAAAAAAAAAAAAAAAAAAAAATGGGTATCGAGTGACTGATCGTCAATAGGGAGAGAAAGAAAAGTCAATTTGGAATCAACATCAGTGATTACGTTGAAGCAGCAGCATCCCCGATCGCCTCCTCGTGTTTGCCTTACAAAGCGTTTTAACGATATTGCAAACTATTTAATACACATATTATGGCGTAGATCAAGAAAATTCACAGATGCATTATCGCGATGCGCGAGCACTCGATTTTATGGCACAAACATATTTTTGTTTACATCGCGAATGCATTGCGTTAAATGTCTACGGACTCTCGTTTTCAATAACGATGCTTGGCTCCTTGTTTACTATAGTTCTATTATATCCTTGAAATACAATCACACCTCGTACCCTTAAATTTGGTTTTCCGCGATATTGAGGTATCTTGTATGCACAATTTTTGTTTGTTTTTGTTGTTGTTGTTTCGGTTGATTAATTTTTTTACACATTATTCAAACGCGATATTGAAAACTCGTGCTTCAGCAGGTGTTGACGACTGGCACTGTGCATGTTTGCGCGTGTGTACCTTGAAAGATAATTTTTTTTTTTTTCCCCCTTTCATGAGATGTAAACAACGCTGACCCAAAAAAATCTAGTTTCCCAAAGAGAGCAATCGCTCCCCCGCGTGCATTTATGTGTGACGCCGTAAGTGCCTACTTCATTGAAAGACAAAGCCCCGGTTATCTGTAGGTGTATATGCATATACATGTACTTACTCGTATACGTAGATTAATCGTATTTATTTTTTGTTGACATACATCGAGTCTTTGCTCCGCTGCACGGGACGGAGAGAACGAGGGTTATAATAGGTCATGCACCTACGCTTTATACGTGTCAGTTTTTTCACTGTTGTTGGATTCATTGTTGTAATTTTTAACGATACATTGATCTCCGTTGAAAAAATTATAAATTGGAAAAGAAAGTTGTACAATAGCATTTTTGTTGAAACAATAATTTTTTTTTTTAATTTTTTTTTTTTTTGTTACGTTTGCTGTACATCCCAAAATAGATACCCTCAGCTAATAGGTTTTCAAACTGAGACCGTAGAGCGTTATCCAAACAAACTGTTACGTATATTTCATACAATGTATTTGCACTCGATGGGTATGACGCGCGTATACAGTCACTTCCGCGTATATTCGATAATCGGCAAATAAGGGAATACGTGTAATGACAGCGACGACCCATTGACACACAAACTTTTCAGGTCAATCTTATTTATCGTTGCGATTTACAAATCTTTCATTTTTCTTGTTTGCACACATCAAAGTGATCATGATCTACACAGTGTACATAGCTGATTCAGGTATTTCACAACAATATTAACGTACGAGCGAAAAATTTCACGTAAACAAATGTTTTACCTTTACCTTTACCACTTAGAAGAGGCTGATACAATCGATCGTCAAAGTGTCAAAAACAAATAACACTAGCTTAGCTGCGATTTAAAATATTATAACCAATTTAGAGGTCGTTGATGGTCGTGAGAACAACAATGCGCACATCGTTGTGGGAGATTGGGATGTCCGGAGACGAAAAAAGAAAAAAAGAAAGAAAAAAATAATTCCCCACAATGGCCTTATGTACCTTGTAATCTACGGTGACTAATACAACGGAAAAAAAAAAATATTACTGGAATGTTCTTTTTTTTACACACGAGGTATAAATGTTTGTTGTACACATAACGATATAGCTCTAAACAAGTACATAATATGTATATATCACCTATGCTCTCAAATATATAATTATAAAACTCTCATTGGAATTGTTACATTTCGATCCATACAAATTCATACATAAATTTTAATTGAAAACGTTCATGCTTATATATCTTTAGTACCATTAAATTGATAACCACAAGTATATGTTTATGTCTATAGTCATTGGCACACACGCAAAATGCTGATGAAAATAATTATCTCCTTTCCTGCCACCATACTCGGTCACCTGTTGATAACGCCGGTACGTGTCTTGGATTCGGGCAACGCGGAGGGAAATTAGTTGCTGGCACGCGGGGAAAAGGAGAGACTAATATGCAACAACAACAATCGACTGGCCATTTTTTTTCACCGCAGTGTTTGACGCGCTCGGCACTTGTGCCTATATACACGGGGAATCTCTTATTGTCTCTCCGTACCGTAGTCGCGGTGCAGCTACTTTGTATGCACAAAAGCTCAAGAGACGCTTGAGTCTTGAACCAGTTGGCTATGACGTGTGTGTCGTATCATCATAATAGTGAGTGCGTGTCTTGCGAGGGTTTTTTTTTTTTTTTTTTAATTTTTTTAATTTTAAACGCATCATTTGCGCGTGGTACCGTAAATTAATAAAACAAAATCAATCTTGAGTAAAACGTTTAATTCAACTTTTTGCTCCGCGAATAGTGTTTCAACGAAAGCCATTGTTTACTATTCTTACAAAAAAGCAATCATGTTCGTAGGTGTCGTTTGCAAGAAGATGACCACTGAAAATCCAAGTATGTTCAAATATTGCATGTATCCAAAATAATTGCCCAAGTTAGTTGTTTTGTATAAAATCAGCACTGTAGTGTTTGAGGAATATTCAAATTGATGGATCATCAAGCATTTGACCTGTACTACTGAAAAGAATTTTTTTTCATGACAATCGACCAAAATTCAGGCTGGAGAGTGCCAAATCTACCTTAATTTCCATATCGTAGCTCGGATGATCCGATGCGCGTTCATTGATTTTGATCGATCTATCTTTAATTAAGATCTTTTTACGTATACTTTACGTGCGTTTATCACATACTCAATCTTCCACTACCGCGTGTTTTTTGCGACAAGTGATTAGCAAACTAGTATGTACATGATTGCTTGTAAAGTGGGGGAAAAAAAAAACTATTATCTCGGGGTTGTTAGATGCATCGTAGTGTCTCATTTACGTAGTGATCAATAATAACGAAGAAGATTGTTTCGACTATTTACGTGAAATTTGGTTTTCACTATTTTAAACAATAAAAAAAACAAAACGAATTGTATAATTAAATTGAGGATTCACAACTTTTTCGCGCACGTGTATCGAGATAAATAATTATACATCTTGTATGTCACGTGCATTGAACAACAAATGTGTTTCAATTTCTCAACGAATCAAAGCTGTCGAGCTTTAAATCGATATTTCGTTTGTTACTTTAGAAAATTATTTTTACGTCTCCTCGCGTGCACGCATTAAAGTGTTTCATATTGAAATTTAAATGATATGCTAATAATCATCAACATTCGCCTAGATGAGTCGTATGCCTTGTTTTGCATAATGGTATAGGTTTTATGAAAACTTTTTGCCGAAATGAATCACACAGGGTATACCATATGAAGCATTTGCATACATTGAAAATACAAAACGCGAGGTAATATCTAATTAATGCAAATTTCTTTTTGCATAATTTCAAGCCAGATTACTCGACAGTACCAGGGACTCTTCTCAAATTTTTACGGGATGTGTCTAGAGATTCCCAAATCTTTATCTATAGTCCCTAAGGCCTATTCATGCTGGTGTGCTGTAGGCACAAGGACAAGAAAATTGAGTAAATTGGTTATAAAATATTACTTGAACCATTGAAAAAAAAAAAAAAAAATGTGTACCGATACACATCAATATACATTGGACATAAAAGACATGCTTACTGCAACGAATCGTAAATTTTTAAGTCTCATATTTTACAACTTAGAGTAGTGAGTATATCCCAGGGATTCCCCTCCATGATTTGATAATTCATCATGTACTTAACTGGATCTCCTCGAATTTCATCGAGATTTTTTTATTGTCAACACATTTTTCAAGATGGAAGTATCGAATATATATATATATATATATATATATACGCATCAGGTAGTTCTTTTCACTGTATGAATTGTATTACAAATTTTCAGAAAAATTGAAGCTTATCGTCATTTGGCTTCAACCAAGTGTAAAATCCAAATGATGTAACTGTTACAGTGTGGATCGCAGCTATTTATCTTGTATTTGAGCGATACGGGCTTTGTTTCGTTAGGCCCCATATTTTTGATGATTGCGTGAAATTGCTTCGTTATCTGTTATGTCACACATATTCCACACATAGATAACTAATTTTTAAGTTATCACGATCGATCTCAAAATTAGGTAATCTTTTGTGTGTAGCGTATGACGTAAAAACATTTGTTGTTTGTTCAGGCCTGGGTGTAATGTTTTTAGAGAGATAACTTTTTTTTTTTTTTTTTTTTTTTTTGGTTTTTTTTTCATTNAAGGGAGTTGTATACGCTTACGCAATTTTTCCTCAAGACCAGCGTGTTGTGTTGTTTTTTTTTTTTTTTTTTTTTTTTTTTTAGGCCTGGGTGTAATGTTTTTAGAGAGATAACTTTTTTTTTTTTTTTTTTTTCTTTTGGCAAAATCATCTATAATTAATTATGAATGTAACGTAATTTGCAAGCTTTATTAAATTATGAAGTTACTTTTGATATAATGTTTCGTGTTTCATTTAAAAATCATATTAATAAAAAATGATCATCTTTTGTTCTAGCTTTATCCACGGCAGCTGAAGATGTGGGAAATGGAATCGAGTTGCCGGAAAACGACACGAGTAAGTTTGTTTTTAATAATTGATTACAAAAATTTCAAAAACATCAGTTAAACCAGTAATTTATGCTAAACTCATACGTTTTATCTGCGTTTTAAAATAAATAATTATAATACTTTTGAACCGGCCAATCGATCGTAAAATTTTGACATTTTAACAGAGCGTGTGCTTTTCAAAAAAAAAAAAAAAAAAAAAAAGCTCATTATTCACCGGTAAAGTAGGTATTCACAGTTTTTAACCGTAATGCACACGTTTATATCATCTGATGGCCGTTGCGGTCATATATGAAATCCGTTTGATATTTATCGCTGGAGCTCCGCTGGAGAAGACGATAAAACAGATATCTGCGTTCGTGGTGATACACCTGTTGGTTATACCTGCCGGTGCTGTGATGAGAATTTACCTCGAGCTGATTTCCCCCTTACCTGTAACCTGCAGGTGTCTCGATCGATCGGCAAAGTTATCGATATACCTACATTTAATTTTTAACAAACGCGTGTGACGATATTTGTCTTTGAAGATTATTACTTTATTTATTGCACTTCAAGAAATGGAAAATTATTAATTTCAATTGAACAATCGTTTAATTTTTTTTTTTCCTAAATCGTCTCCATGAGCTGCTGCTCTTTGTGGGCACACTCTACCGATCAATCCGATTTTGGCGCTTCATTTTTTTTTTTTTTTTTTTTTTTTCTATTCTCCCTTTGCAATCGTTCTGGCAAAAAAAGTTCGTTTAGAACAAAAGAAAAAAAAGCTGAGAGATAGAAAAAAAAAGAAACGGGCAAGAATAAGAAGAAGCGCGTCGTAGTCGTACAATAAATTAATGACAAGGTTCAATTGATGGTTGACCCTTGCGTGCCGCGCAACAATCACTCGTACTCGCGTGTACATATTGTATGTGCAGCTGCATGCCACGTTGTACATAAAGTCGCAATCCATCCAAAATCACTCGGTTGTCTTCCTTTTTTTCGAAACTCGAACTCCCTGTGGTAAATCTTTGCCAAGTCACAGTTGTATGGGCTGTTGACCATTGTAAAATATTGAGATGAAATGCTTGGTAGCGTGAGAAAATTCGAACGAAGCATGGAGGTAAATTTTTGCACAATCCAATGTGTACAAACGCCAGGCGCGAACATCACTCCGAGGAAGGATAAACATTTTGCGCAATCGAAAAGACGAAGCTTTTCCTATACGTACATATTACATACACCGGCTGGTCTAACGGCTCGTTGAACATAAACAAATCACTCGGCTGTATGGAAATTAACCGGTAGCGCGAAGAGCATTATCTTCAACGCGCCGACGACTCATTGGGTATTTAACGTTAATTCATCACATTAGCTGATGCAATCGAACTTTCCGGAGAACGTGACAAATTTTCATTGACAATTTATTGTTTACTCGTTCTTACATCACACAGCACAGAGAGACACGTGGGTTACTACATGGACACTGTATACTGTTGTCCCTTTTTTTATACAGATTCACAAGTACCACACAACCCCTACTTTTAAATCTATGGACGATTTGTCGCTAACTTAATTGTCAACCAAAAACAAAATTTGTCGCTGTTTACAAAAACTAAGATGTAACAAGTTTCGCTGGCTCGATATCATTGGAAGGGGCTACAGCAAATCTGCAAGCGAAAAAATGAAAACCGTGTGCCATTTACCATTTGTTCCTTGATTTCTCAAGGATTCAAAGTTAAAAGGGTCCTTTTCGCGAATGTCAAGCCAACACGTACCTAAATAAGGTGTATACACATCCAAACCATTTATAATAATACCGCTTACTTACAAAAGTATGCTTGAATGTATTTCAAGATGATCCGGTGCAAAGTACACGTGTGTGTAACGTGTGTAATGGGCTGAAAAGGCAGTTGCTCACACGCGTGTCCTCAATTAGTGCGGGGCCCAATTAGTCCTTGACTAATTTCCACTGCGTCGCGTGTCTGTCGTCTATAGTCTAGGAGTCACTCCTGTGCACGGAGAAACAAAAAAAATGACGTCAACAGCATCGCAGCGCGCACAAGAGACCTTCTTTAGTGCTTACGTGGAAAGAAAACACTCATATGCTTTTCTTATGCACGTTCGACAACAATGGTTTTTGCTAACCAAGGTTTTGACGTGGGTACATCATAAAATTTCGAGGCCTCTTAAAATCCCGTATATATATAATATAGTTTACTGATATGATATGCACTTTTTTCGTATCACCATCCCTCGATAAAAAATGTAAAAGGCTCCTCCAGCCACGGCACGCGGAAATAATTACATGAATTCTCCCGCGGATGCGAGATGTTTATTGTTTACGTGCATTGGGTACAAGTATGCCCGTGTGTAGGTTTACACGTGAGAAAGGCAGTGTTTGGTATATGTATTACAGCCATTGTGTAATTTCATTGGATGCTCTTGGATGTCTGATTGCTCGCGTGTTTACGATAGAAAAAGATGCCCTATTCGTTTATTGATGGATGTTATACTTGTGGTATAGAAATTTAAATTATTTGTAGTCTCAAAAAGTAAGAGAGAGAGAGGAATTTTTTACAAAATTTCAATTTAGATAGGGTGTGTTATTGTGCAGTGATGCTTTGGTTGGTTTGGTTGAAAAATATAAATCTTCTTTCATTTTTCATTCTACGTGACAAATCAGTATAACCAGAGTACGCGCTTGCTGGATCACAAATGACATACTTAATTTATGCGTGTGGCTGTAGCTTTCATACGCACGTGAACACATTCACGCACACGATTCAGGTATACGATCACAAAGTTTCAATAATTAATCGTCGGCAAGAAGATGTCCTCACTCGATTGCACATCGATTGTTTTTCTTTCTCCTTCCACTTCAATTGCATCATACGTGCATGTACATTTTAACGCGACCTTATGACCTATTCGCACCTTTAAAAGCATTGTACATTATCGGGGTCTCTTTTCAATGAAGAAAAACAAACAAAACAAAAAAAAATTTTAATCAACATTAAGGTCAGACATTAGCACTACGATTAAATTTTTTTTTCTTCTGGTAAGGATCACATGGAAAATTGGAGCGAATAACCGTGAAATTGGGGACTTCCGGCGACCCTTGTTTTTCAGTCGCCGTGAAGATTCTAGTTCCAGCTGGATGTTACCTGCAGATACGAGCTGGACCATCGTTTACGTGTCGCTCGATCGACTCGACTTTTGTTCCTAACGATATATGTATGTCCACGGCCGTTGAAGAAAAAAAAAAAAAAAAAAAAAACGGCTGCAGCTTAATCCAACGATAATCACCCCAATTACTATTCCACACGCGATTATACACATATGCTTGCGAGCTCTAACTATATCATTGAATTCGTGCTCAAGTCGAGAGCATCAATACCGATTTTTTCCTTCCTTCGAGAGATACGCACATGTAATTAACGATCGTGGCAGAAAAAAAAAAAAAAAAAAAAAATAGAGTTTCCTGATTTAGTGCAATCGAAAAATCGGGGTTCTTCCTCGTGGAGGTCAACTGTTCCATTCGCTCAAGGTTCCCCCGAAAGGCAATTTCGACTCGTTTCGATCGGCCAGTCAATTACTGCCCAGGCTCGCGTGTGAATAAAATACGAGAGCCCCTGTTGCATATATTATTATATGTACACGTGGCAGGGCTATAATGACTCGACGTCCTGGGCCGTGCACCTACTTATCTCGTGGAAGTAAAGTATACAGCAAGTTGTTATCTTGCCCAAAGTTTCACGCCAAATTGCAGGTATAGGTAATTCAATCGATCGGAGAAAGAGTTGAGATCGGCATTGCCTCGATCCAAGTCACACGCCACTTTGTATCCCGATTACGCAGTATAGGTAATATACGGTATGTTGGATAGGAAATCTTGTTGTTTTTTTTTTTTTTTTTTTTCCAATGCGGCTGGGAAACGACAGATGCCAAAGAGTGATTTACGCGAACGCCCATGCACGCATACTCAGGCAGACGCGTGTTGTTTCTTAGATAAGAGTTTTGTGATCGGAAGAGGGGGTTGGGGGAAAAAGTTTCTGCTTCTTCAAATTTTCGAGCAAGCGGCTCATCAGCCGCAGATAAAAGTCAATCGCATGGGGTCTCTCGCCCCTTCCAGGATTGACCTTCACCCGATTGACATTGCACGACGCCGGTGACAGCCACTTTCCCCGGCAGCGGGTATGCGTTGCACGGCCTGTCTGATGCATATATATGTATATTTGCGCCGCTTATCGACCCGCGATCTCGGACCACGACATTGCACTTGGCTTCGCCCCGCGCCAAGGCCTCGCTGCCCTTTAATATGATTAATGGCCCCCACTTTTTTTCCTTCCCCTTTTGTTGGCCCTAATCCTCACTCGTGTATAATATACATATTTATACGCTATTAAATTGCAAATGCGTCCGTATAATTAGTTGGTGCACGGGTCTTCCATGAAATGTATGTAGTTCAGTGGTCACCCGAGATGATTATTATGATATTACTTCCTATACGAGGGCACGCGACTAGATGTCGTAGGAAAAATGATTTGAAAACTACTGTTATTGGCGGGTCACACATCCATCAATTGAATTTCGGCAGCCGTGCGTGGGACCGGTTATGAAAACGACACTGATAAATCAGGCCCCTCTTGGTATAATTTTCCACTTTTTCGCCAATACATCGTAAAGAGCGTTTGCGCGGTAATATTATGCGATACGCAAACGGGAGATAGAGAGAGAGGGGGACTCTTTAAGTGGTTGCACATGTGTGTGTGTGCAAGTCGGGTCGTCTCAATTGAAGCGGAAAAGTTCAAGAGGGATCAAGGCGTTGTGACGCAAAGGAACGCGCGCAGCATCTGCTGGTGGGCCGACGATGGTGCCGCGGCAGCTGTATATATATGTAACGCGCCAAGACCCCCCGCTGACGGCTTCAGTTACGACGACCACTGATGCTCGTATCTATACGTGTTATACATATTCTATTTTGATGACGTGCATAACTTCGACGGACGCGCAAATAATATATGGACGCTTGTTCGAATGTACGTAGTACCTACGAGAGCAAAGATTACGTTTGATGATACGCTTGGGTGGANGACACGTTGATTATTATTTGAGCACACCCGAGGCAATCGTAATAAATTACAAGTTGTTTTTATGGGACACAGGTCAGTCTAATCATAGAATCGGGGATATTTAAATATAGCTTCGTTTGAATCGGTATCGAAATTTTGCTCCTCTGAATCAGCTCAATTTGCACACATGTATATGTATGTATGTATATATATATACATTTCCGGGGTCGTCTATTGATTCTTCTAAATTAAGACCGCGTATTTTCTTTCTCCTTCGACGGACGCGCAAATAATATATGGACGCTTGTTCGAATGTACGTAGTACCTACGAGAGCAAAGATTACGTTTGATGATACGCTTGGGTGGATTTCGACTGGGAAACGGAGACTTTTTCCAGTTTTTTTTTTTTTTTTTTTTTTTTTTTACTAAAAGTAAAAACCTGCAACAATGAGCTTTACCATGTATAAAATGTACTGCACTTGTCTGTCGGAAACAAAGATTTTTCTCAATGTGGGTGTTGCAATCAGTAACGACTTAAAACAACCTGTTTTGGCATAAAAGAAAGCACTTTTTATTGTAAATTCATGAAAAATCCGGATTTCCAAAAGAAAGTTTGAAGAACAAAAAATTGATGATACCACAAGCTCTTGGGACACTCGATACTTTCGTTGATGTTTTCGGCATACAAGTTTAGCGCAATCTATAAGTGACGGAGATTCCAATTTTTCGAGTACGCAATAACGTACACGAGGCAGCTCATTTGCGATCGGGACGTCAGCGAGTATCCCCCGCTGTTCGTGGGTAATATGGAAAATCACGCAATTATCACGTGGGCGGAGGGAGGCCATCGTGAATTTTAGCCGATCATCGTCAGCAGTAATAGTGGCTAATTGGCCTCTGAGGTCGCTCAGCTCGTACACACGGTTACTCACGCGCCAAGACTGTGTACATGTTACCCGATGTTACCATATTATCGGGAGATCGATTGAACAGAGTAAAAACGAGCCAATGTACTCGTTGCGATACATTGATTTCTTTCTTACTTTTTTTTTCTTTTCCTTTATTTTCATTTTAATTGCATTTAAAAAATAGTTCCAGTCATGCGTCTATTTTTTATGCGATTTCTCGAACACGAGTTGAAAAATTTTTTTTTCTTCTGGTAAGGATCACATGGAAAATTGGAGCGAATAACCGTGAAATTGGGGACTTCCGGCGACCCTTGTTTTTCAGTCGCCGNCATGGCACTTTACGTGTACACTTGTGTGTTATCGGATGGATCTTACGATTGCGCAACTCTCCTCTCCTCGTGTATAAAATATACATTGCATTCAAGAGCTAGAACAGAGTTTCTGTTTTTTTTTTTTCATACCATGGTAGTATGTTTTAATAAATGTTAAAAAAAAAATCAGATTTTAGGACTTCTAGATATACTTGTAACTAAATTAGAGTACTTATCCAGAGATATTGCTAACGCGTGTCTAACCCACGTAACAGACCTTGATGCCACCACCGCTATATACCAGCACTGCGTCGTTACCTAATGTCCACACTACAAACACACACACACACACAAATATAAAAGACGTTCAAGCATTAATGGGATAGTGAGAGCAAAAAAGTGGTGTATGATATGCATAAACAAGTTTTTGATTTTTCAACTGCAGATTTTGTTTTTAATTTGTCCTGAACAACTAACTTTGCTTCAATCGACAAAATGACCCTTTCATTTTCCTTCGAAAAAGCATCGGTCGATAAAGGTATACGAATAGACATGATGAGTCGATTTCTCTGGCGAAAAGTCCAATTTTCCATCGACATCCAAGTCCAACCTCAACCACGAAATTCTGCGAAAAATTTAATAAAAGTTACGTCCACCGCACGAGCAACGCCGCAAAATAAAAAAAAAACTCAGCCAAGCCTCGCATGATTAACCAATGAAACCGATCAACCTCTCGATTTGTATCTCGCTCGGCACGGCCGATGATTTCTCTGACCCCTTCATTTCGAACGTCATTCCCGTCACTATACACGCAACGATCTGTTACATGAAAATTGGCAAAAAATAAATAAAACGAGCAACGAACATTTTCGCCAGCGACTGGCCGTGTAGAAAATAACAGTCTGCTCTACGTCACTTCGCATGCAAGTGTAGGTGTAACTGGATCAACGAAAAGCTCAAGAAATCCCCTTGAGCGTGTGGAGCTTGACCGCAAGCGCACCGAGTACATGCACACACGCATACACGGCCGTCTCGAAACGCGAGAGGGAAGGGCGGCTGCAGAACTAGGACATCGGCACCCCGACCGAGTTGCGCCTGATGTGTGCATAACGTATCGCCAAAGCGCCAGCTTTTAGGCTGCTCTATATTTTTCGACAACTGGGGGGAAAAGAGAGGTAAAAAAGTTGAAGTAAACACGCACAAAAAACCAAAGGGGCAAGAAGGGGGAAAAGAAGGAAAAAAAAAAAATAACAAAGTCGGGCAGCTCGTGCGTCAGAGCCGTGTACCTATATTATAGTTCCTCGTCGCGAAAGAGGCCCACCCTCGAGCGCGAGTGACCCTGTCGGCCCCCTTTTGACGGACTATTTTAAAGCGCGGCCTGGATATCGGGAAAGGTCTCTTTTGGCGCGACCTACGTACGACGGTATACTTACGGGGAAAGATGCGAACCACTCGTTTGTTTTTTGGAAAATAAAGTACATTCACGGTAAAACGAAAGACTTTCTGCAGCGTTTAACAAGCAATCTCGGGAAAAAATGCGCCTTGTTGAACTATTTTCGTTGATTGCTTTGAGATAGCGAGCTTTTGCGCAAAATGTACTTTAGTTTTTAATAATATTTTTTGCTGCTTCACGCGGAGGCTGGTTTTTTTTTCTAATTGACAAAATAAATGAAAAAACACACTTGCTCGAAATACGGCTACATTGGTGACTAAATTTTTTTATAAATAAAGTACTTGAACGAATGTGAACCAATCAATGATCCTTCAACTCTCAACATGACTTATTATCCTTTGTGGTGATACAAGTACACCTACCAACAAAAATCATCCATCAGTACCCACGTTGAACATTAATAGTCGTCATTTTGCTGTTTCAGATTCCTTGGAATCACTGTCACATCTCGGTGAGTCTCTTTTTTTTTTTTTCTAACCAAAACACTTTTTAAGTTTCACTATTGTGTTGTGTTGTTTTTTTTTTTTTTTTTTTTTTTTTAATTACCCTCCGAAACCCTTATATTTCAGGTCAATTAATTTCATTCGATCAGGTTTCACAAACAGTTTTCAAGTTTTAACAAAGACAAAGCCTATAAATTACGAAAAACGAGGCAACAGAGTAGAGTTTGCGCAGATTGAAGTTATACGTCGTCCGAACTTTTGGCCGCCATAAATCGAAACTTATTAACAACAATCGCCCCCTACTCCCCCCCTCGTAAGTTAACCGCTTAGCTCGACACATGTGGTTACACTTATATTGCACACATGTATATGTATGTATGTATATATATATACATTTCCGGGGTCGTCTATTGATTCTTCTAAATTAAGACCGCGTATTTTCTTTCTCAAATGCGTATAGTACACACCGCAAGACGAAATAACAAACTTACTCTCAAAGAAGTCAGGTTTTGTACAACCGAGGTAATTTGAAAAAAAAAAATAATAATTCCAACTTTCAATAAGATTTCATCCGAATGCATCTCGCATACCGTACATTTTACATCGTTGCGACTGTTACTCTATCGACTAGAAGATAAAAGAAAGAAAAAAAAAACGTATACCAATAATCTGATTGTCGTATTTTTCCATATCTTAACGCCAAGACGACGGACGAATTAACATACTGATTGTTATCACGTATAAATGAAGAAAAATTTGTTCATCTGAATGGACGAGGCAGATCCAAACGAAAATACGTCGAGTTAGGCATTAGGCACCCATTGGGTGGTGGAAATATACATTTGCATGTACATAGTCGAACGACGCGCCGTGGCTTGATGCGGCCCAGTTTCAAGCTCAACTGCGCCTATAGAGACACTCGTCACGACGTGGACCGGTATATGTAGGCAGTTTAGATACACGCGTATATTTATACGTACATTACATGTACGTACGGAGACGGAGAGTGAGAGAGAGGAAATGGGAAAATAGTAAAAAAAAGGATGCACGCGGATGAAATTGCACGCGCGACCCAATTTAGCCGCTATGGCCACTCGAGACCTTAGTAGCCCTATATATGTACTTACGCACAAACACATGGCACTTTACGTGTACACTTGTGTGTTATCGGATGGATCTTACGATTGCGCAACTCTCCTCTCCTCGTGTATAAAATATACATTGCATTCAAGAGCTAGAACAGAGTTTCTGTTTTTTTTTTTTCATACCATGGTAGTATGTTTTAATAAATGTTAACTATTTTGAATCTCCATAGTAATGGCACGGCTTTGATTTTACCTGGCTATACATGAAATCACAGAAAATCGATTAGCAAAGTGAGGAAGATATCGATAAGAGGATCATTCAATTTAATTGCAATGAGTTTGCGTCGCGCACATAAAGTTAGTGGCCGTATCATTGCAATCCAATCAGTGGGAAGAGAGAAAAAAAAACAAATTCCTTTTTGTTTGTTTACAAAAACGAGGTACCCAATCAGTGTCAATGACAATTAAGTTTCTTCTTTACGCGAATCGACGACTTTGTACTGCAACTAATTAAGCAGTTGCGCAACGTTTTTCGATTTTTACTTCTCCTCCTCTCTGTATCGGTGTTTATTGGAGAAAAGTGCGCCGTTCGCTAGAACCTCGTGACCAGCGCAACTATATGTACGATGACGCAGCACTTGCAAGCCATTCAATGAAAAATCATGATGGAAAGCTTTCCCAGCTAAAAACTGTGATGAATCCAAGGACACGCGTTCAGGACTTTTGGAGTCAAAGTTCGGGAATATATATTTATCGTTTCTCGTGGACACCGACGACTTCGCTCCCTCGGGGTCACTCCAGTTCATTTCAAGTGCTCGAAAGCTTTTTTTTTTTTTTTTCTTCTTTTCGTGCACAATAGAAATAACAGACATCGGTTGAGCTTGTATGTAGAATCAATTTTGGTTGCACGGTGCGAAAGAGAATTGCTTGATTGGATGAATTTGCACTTGAAACGCGTTATAACTAGCGTCGAAATGTTATTGCGTGCTACGATCGGCCGCTGCGACATTTAATGACTGAAAATGACGTGGGTAGGTACTCCGCTGACGCGAGCTACATTACGCGGCGTTGGTATACCCGTAAGACTGTTATGTGCATTCACCATACTTTTGTACTATAAGTATACAGTCAAAGTGACGCATCTTACGATACGATTGCATAACCTTGACTCCTCTTTACGAACAAGTCGTACGTCTAAACTTGAACTTTTCTTGGATTTTTTTTTTTCCCACAACTTCGATGGCCACCTCCGTGAGCTAAGAAGTCTTGCCACAAGGGATTTTTCAATGCCCCCTTCACAAGCTCCACGGATGCAAAGAATGTCAGCAGGTTGATTTATCGCTTCAGGTTACGCGTGCGTTGCTCTCCCAATAAACCCAATCATGAAAAATCACCTTCTATACCTTGTAAAAACATGGGGCAGTTTTTGAGTTACGCGAAACATTTCGAGTAAGAGCGGAAGGCATGTCATTATGCAACTTAACACGGTCACTACCGACGCGTCAATGTCAAAGGCAAATCCTATTTGTCGATATAACGAGTGTGTAGATTTTAACCACTTGCACACCTGTCACCAATATTTCAGATGACGTCGTCGCGGTGCGTTGTGTCATTGCGCAACACATTTAGTGATGCATTTAAACTTGTTACAGTCGATTGAACGTCGTATTGTTGTACACGATGCAGATTTGATGATCGACCGAACATGTGGACGACAAAAAACTCTTCAAGTCCTTTTTTTTTTTTTTTTCTTATTTCTTTGTTCCGCCTATGAGGAAATGCGTTTGTTCGTGTACGTATGTAAGAATTTTTCTTAAACTCAATGGAAAATATATTAAATTTAGAAAGCGTTTTTTTTTTTTTTTTTTTTTTTTTTCTTCTTTGAACAAAAAACAAACAATGAACTGTTAGATTGTCCCTTATCCCTTGTGCTCCCGATGATAGGGGGGAAGAAAAAAGGGCAAACAGAGAAATAGGACAAAATAATAACACCGGCGCTCCTCCCTCGGCTATTTCCGACGCGAATAATCCGGTCGGCCGGTCAATAACTCCGGCTGCTATTAATAGTATATACATACCTACATGCCCAAGTACAAGTACACACACGCACAGCAGCGTACATGGTAACCATTTTTTTTAACGATCCCCATGTATTCCTACCTGTTCAAGAATTTACGCTCGTATATATTTATATACGCTTAGCTATCGATAAGTTGCTGTATCGACACTCGTATGGATAAGTATAACAAAATGATGCGCACGGGTACAGGAAGGTATATAATATACCCTCGTATAGATACCTTTCGTGGCTCTTGGTAATGACGATTTACAAGTGATTAGTCGATTACCATATACTCTCGGACGCAATCCATCTTTGCTAAATATTACAATTCAAGCTATATATTTTTGGGGGTAACAAGTGTTGTACAGTTTACCGTCGCGATGTGCTTGACAAAATTTAGAGCCGCTTTCTCGTTCAGTCTGCAACTTGCGGCTTCTCCTTCGGGTGGACAAAAAAAGTCATCATCTCTTGTATACATGGTACATTTATATCGAAACTGACAGTGAGCCTCGTGCTTCGTCTATTTCCATGGAATAGTGAGGAGCACGCGTTGGCATCGTGCTCGAGCCGAAGGGGGTGAGTGTTGCGCGGATGTAGCGCTGGGTGATGGAATATACCTATACCGGCCGGGAGGAAGTTCACAGGCTAGCGCGAGCGTGGCTTCCCGGGGTGGAAAGTTTCGAGCGGGCAAACTTTTCCAGCTGCCTTGGAATCTTTTCCCCCTTTTTTCTCCCCCCCCACCCCCTTCTGTCGGTTTCACATTTTCCGTACACGGCTTTTTTTTCTAAGTTATTGCGGTCGTTGCTCCGTTTCGGTTGCTGGTGGCCAACTGTGTGAAAGATCATTGGTTCGAGGAAAGGCGGGGGTCCTTTTCTTTGACTAGGTGCTTTTAGTTTTTCTTTCAAACGCGCGGGATGTTATTTTGGGCTGAAATCCTTGTTTTAAAAAACATTGTATTGTATACATCAACCAAATAATTAGTTACCCTCCATCTCATCGTCAAAAATTGGTATTTGTTAAGTGATTAAATCATCGGACAAATAGTCATACTTACCTGACGACACATGGAAATTTCATTGTCATAAAAAAAAAAAATAAATAAAATCACGTCATTTTACAATGAAATCGCTCGATTATGTTCATGTTTTGTTTCCCCAGGGGGGCTCGTTTAATAGTTGCCTGTTAAATATGTATATTAAGTATAATTGTTCGTTTGCTTTGTTTCGTGAGCTTGTGGCTATTTTTACCATACGGGTTTTGCTTAGAGATACATCACACTAGGTTCTCCATTACGAATTGTTTTCTTTTTCGGAAATATTTTTATAAAAGTAAGACACGTTGATTATTATTTGAGCACACCCGAGGCAATCGTAATAAATTACAAGTTGTTTTTATGGGACACAGGTCAGTCTAATCATAGAATCGGGGATATTTAAATATAGCTTCGTTTGAATCGGTATCGAAATTTTGCTCCTCTGAATCAGCTCAATTTCTTGTATTCATATTACAACATGATGACTATTGAACTATGGTACTTTTATAAACTTTGTTACGTATGATTCAAGGATCGAAGGATTCTTCATAAAAGAAACTTCTTGATTAAAGGCGAGATTTTTACCTTCCGTAGGATTTATAAGATTTAAAAAATTCCATTATGCAAATGTGTAGGTAGTACTCCCAACCTTCCAAACGGTAAAAACTTGAAAACTCTTGTACTTTCCAACTAAAGCTCGTTACATTCACTCCATCTGCATTTTGATGAATTTATAATGTTACAATGAAATGAGACCGAAGGAATAATGGCTGAAAGACGTGCTACACCGTGCCCCAGATAACCGAGTTACGTCACT